GTATGAGATATATTTTATTGCTTTTGAGGCTGGACTCTTTCCTAGTAGTCCTGTGCCATGGTGAAGAATTGGTTATATAGTGGTAATGTCACCGGATTTCTAATCCAGATGCTCAGGCTAATGGTCTTGGGGTACACATTCCAATCCCACCACTATAGATGGTATAATTTAAATTCAATTACTTAAATTTGGAAAATCTGGAATGGAAAACTAGTCTCTAATGATGCTATGAAATATCATGGAATATTGCTTTTTTTTTTCAAAAAAAACCTGCTTTGTTGATGCTGCATAGGAAATGAAATTACTCTCCTGACCTGGTTTGGCCTACATGTGACTCCGTGTGGATGTGGTTAACTCTAAATTGCCTTCTGAAATGATCTGGAATGTCATTCAGTTATACCAGGTTGTTGGTATTGTGGGTGTACCTGCACCAGATGGACTGCAGTGGTTGAAAATGGAGACTCACCATCACCTTGTTAAAGAGAATTAGGATGGGCAAGAAATGTTGGTCCTGCCAGATATTTGTTAGAATGTGGGCATAATATGTTTTAGAAAAACAAAAAATTTCAACTTTCAATATTGCAACAATGTCCAAGGCTAAGGAGGTTCCTGATTGCTGTACTATGGTTTGTGAGATTTTCTGTGAAGCTCCTCCTGGTTAAACATGTGAGGGAATTCATATACTGTAAACTATTTATATTTTAGCTGTCGATACCACAAAGCTCCCTGGGGGTGTGCAATTAATCTGCACGTGGTTTCCTTTAAACTTAGGAGCTTTGTTTACATATAAAAGTAACTCTGTTTCCCAGTGTACAAATTATTGCCCAATTCCAACCTGTTTTGCAGACATTATGAATGTTAAAAGATGTGGCTTGCATTGTCCTAAAATTCCAGAATCTTCTGAGATTTCATCAAGTCTTCTAAATGTTGTAAGCTCATACTGTAACAAATTCAATGTAGAAGTGTTTTACAGTTTCTTTATTAATTTCACCCTCACTAATGTCTTTCACTTTTTTTCTTCATTCATTCACAGGGTGAGGGTGTTGTTGGCTATGCCAGTATTTACTGTCCATCCCTACTTGTCCAAAAGGAAGTCAAGAGTCTACCACATTGCTGTAGGGCTGGAGTCACATGTAGGCCAGATCAGGTAAAGATGATAGATTTCCTTTCCTAAAGCACAGTGGTGAATCAGATGAGTTCTTCCTCCCACAGTCAAGAACAGTTTCATGGTCATACAGTACAGACTTTCCAAAAAAAAAATTGAATTCAGATTCCTTTACCTGCAATGGTGGGAATTGAGCCTGACTCCTAAGATCATTACCTGGGTTTCTGGATTACTAGTATAGTGATAATACTACTAGGCTATCGCCTTCCTACCAGGATTACATTTTTAAAGACAAGCTTTTTAAACCATCATGATACTACTGTCTAAAAGATGATTATCTGGTCCCTCAGTTCTGCATGATTTTATTCCAAGTTCTGAAGAATTGCAGAAAGAATTGAGGAAATGTTCCATTTGGGATTAAAATCAGAAATTGCTGGAAAAACTCAGCAGGTCATGGCAGCATCTGCGTAGAGAAAATAGAGTTAATGTTTCAGGTCCAGTGACTTTCAGAACTCACTACTGCTGAGTTTTTCCAGCAATTTCTGATTTTTGTTTCTGATTTCCAGCATTAGCAGTTCTTTGGTTTTTTTTCTCATTTTTCGTTTGGGATTCATGGGCCAACCAAGATTCTTGGGCACAATAAAAAAAGTTCTTGACAATCCAGAGCAAATACTGTTTGTGTAATGGTTCTGGTGGGAAGACAAAATCATGTGGAAGGTATTTAATAGCAAAGTGAAGAATAAATTACCAGGGCAGATGCTGTCCCTCAGTGTTGGTAGGCTCAAAAGACATTGACATGGATTTAATAATAAAAGTAACAGTAAGGCTATTGGCACTGACTACTATTACAAATTAAATCAGACTGATTGCAAATACTCCATATCTGCGATTAAGTGAAGAAAGAGGAAGTTGTTGTCTGAGTTGCTGTCTTTTCCAGGCACTTTGCCAAGAAACTTGGAATTGAAAAGATATGGAATAATGTGAAATTACAGTACATACATGGTAGATACCCATTACGAACACCAAAAAAAAGGGCTTGTTCGTTCTACTATAACAATGTTTGAGGTTGTAGACTTGCTCACCGAGCCGGTGTGTTTGGTCGCAGACGTTTTGCCACCCTGATAGCTAACATTGTCATTGCACCTCTGGTGAAGCGTCAGTGTTCTGTCCCTTTTGTTATTTATATGCCTCGGTTTGCTGGGGTGGTTGGCATTACGTCTGGTTCTGTTTTTCAGTGGTTTGTATATTGGGTCCGATTCAACGTGTTTGTTGATGGAGTTCCGATTGGAATGCCAGGCCTCCAGGAATTCCCTGGCATGTCTCTGTTTGGCTTGTGCTATAATGGATGTGTTGCCCCAGTCAAATTTGTGTCCTTCTTTGTCCGTGTGTGTTGAACCATTGAGAATTGGTCGTGTTTCTTGGTGGCTAGTTAGCGTTCGTGTATCCTTATTGTCTGTTTTCTTCCAGTTTGGCCTGTGTAATGGTTCTCACAGTCCTTGCATGGTATTTTGCATATTACATTAGTTTTATTGGTTGTGGGTATGGGATCCTTTATGTTCGTCAGTAGCTGTCGCAGGGTGATTGTTGGAATAAAATTCACAAAAGAAGAACGATAACTGACTACCCTTCCTAGACATAAATACAGAATTTAAGAGCAACAGCGAGCTCCAGACTAGTGTATACAGAAAGACCACACATACAGACCAGATACTTAATTCCTCCAGCAACCATCCCAACACCCATAAACGGAGCTGTATCAGGACGTTATTCAACCGGGCCACAACACACTGCAACAACCCAGAATTGCGCACAGGAGAACAGGAGTACTTATACGGAGTTTTTAAAAGGAATGGATACCCAAAAAGCACAATCTGCCATTACCTCCACAACAGACCACAGCAAGAAGACAGAACACAGTCAAACACACTAGTCCCCCAACAGTACATCAGAGACATATCAGAGATGACCACAAGACTATTCAGACCACTAGGTATCAGGGTAGCCCACAAACCAACAACCACTCTGCAACAGCTGCCGACGAACGTAAAGGATCCCATATCCACAACCAATAAAGCTAACGTAATATACAAAATACCATGCAAGGACTGAGAAATATTAGATAGACCAAACTGGAAGAAAACTGACAATGAGGATACACGAACACCAACTAGCCACCAAGAGACATGACCAATTCTCACTGGTTCAATACACACAGAAAAAGAAGGACACAAATTTGACTGGGACAACACATCCATAATAGCATGAACCAAACAGAGACATGCCAGGGAATTCCTGGAGGCCTGGCATTCCAACCAGAACTCCACCAACAAACACATTTAACTGGACCCAATATACAAACCACTGAAAAACAGAACTGGAAGTGACGCCAACCACCCCAGCAAACCGAGGAATATAAATAACAAACGGGACAGAATACCAATGCTTCACTGGATGTGCACTGACGATGTTACCTAGCAGGGTGACAAAACGTCTGCAACCAAACTGGCTTGGCGAGCAAGTCTACAACCTCCTCCTAACCTGAGCTACAAATCTTCTCAAAAACTTTATAACGATGTCTAATGACTTAGTCATTCTCAATTATTATCAAACAACTTCTCTGGCCCTGAAAATTCACTTTTACTAACATGGAGTCCCATTTTAAAAAAAATATTGGGACACTGATAAAATTAAAAAGGAAGTTTTTAAATGATTATACTCCCAGTTTTTTTTAATTTCTCTCTTTTAATCTGAATTGCCTTTCCTTCATTTTATTTCATTTTCTGACAGCTCCTAGTTTTGTCACTGCATGCTTCCGATTAGTTAAGGAGATAATAGTTGTTTGCCTCATTTATGCAAATTCCAGATCCACTGGAGAAGGCTCTATCAAAATAGTTATCACAGAATCCCTACAGTGTGGAAACAGGCCCTTCGGCCCAACAAGTCCACACTGACCCTCCAAAGAGCATCCCACCTAGACATAACCCCCTACCCTTTCCATGTAACCCTGCATTTCCCATAGCTAACACATCTAATCTACAGATCCCTGAACACTATGGGCAATTTAGCACAACCAATCCACCCAACCTGAACAGCTTTGGATTATGGGAGGAAACTTGAGCACGTGGCAGAAACCCACGCAGACATGGGGAAGAACGTGAAAACTCCACAGAGACAGTTGCCCGAGGGTGGAATCAAACCCAGGTCCCTGGCACTGTGAGGCAGCAGTGCTAACTCCTGATCCACTGTGCTGCTTTCTAAACACCAGATGCATCAGTGCAAAATCCCATAGAGAGTCTACTTTTCTCCTCATGATTAAACAATTCAGAGATGTCATGATATACTTCTCAGCAAGTAGGGCTTGATCCCAGACTAGTAAGAACACTGCAACAATGCCATAAGAGCCACATGCCAGTGAGTCTTTGGTCAAATTTAAGTATAATCAATGACACCTGCTGTTTATTCACTATTGACTAAAAGATCTGGCCCAATAAGATTTGAATTTGAAGAAAGAAGCTAATCAAGTTTTTAAGAGGAAGGGAGGGTGTATCTATCAAAAGGGGTTATTAGGTCAAATGGCTTCTTCTATTCTTGAACATTTTCACAATTTATGCATTCAAGGAGGCACAATCTTTATTGGAAACATTTTGGCAATCATTTTGTTTTCCACCTATGTATATATGATCATGGAAATCATGCCAAAACTTTCAGTACATTAATGTGATTGATTGATTAATTAATTAATGATTTAATTGTTACAAAAATGACAAATTCCAGTTGCTTACAGAAAGGAAATTTCACAAACCCTTTTTGATGATGACGATAACCCTATAAACGTTTCAGGATTCATAGGAATTTTAAATAAAGTTTAGTTCTTTGAATTCCATATGAACTGAGCGTCTCTGTTAATGAAAACAGGGAGAATATCGGACTTTCCAACTTATAAAATAAGGGAACAGGGGATTTCTGAAACTTCAATATTTTCAAAGAGCAATTTTGCTCCCTTTGTACTGACACTGGTGTTTTTATATGGAAGAAGCAAATGACGTCAACAATGCAATGCATATAAATCAAACATAACTGACACCTTATTCTGGTGTTGATATAAGAGCTATGTATCTACTTTGTCATGTTGGTCAATTTGGCACTTTGACAGTTTTCCCATTGATGGCTAGATTCAAATTTTAGGGGGAGCTTTTCTTTTGAAATTCAAGTGGAATGATTTCTTTAGTCAGCAGTTCATCACTTAAGCAGCCAGAAACTCAGATTGCTAGATCATCAGATCTGGTTCGATTGCTTTGCTTGCTTGTGTCACTATTCTTCCGTTTGTTGGTCACAGAAACATGGCTACTGGGAAGTGAGCTTGTCTCCTCATGTCTCTCCTGTTTGTCATCCATCATGGCAAAGTTGTCTTGGTTTTGCTTTGTTGCCATATTGCCATTGTAAGGCTGGGTCACAGAATTTGTTTCTGTCAAGGGAGAGACACTGAACCTTGACGCCATCTTATACAGCTGTGGCCCATTGTGGTTGGAAAGGTATTGGTAACTAGGTGCAGAGGGCCGCATTCCTGCAAGCGAGAGACCCCCATTTTGCTTACAGGTGGCCTTTGAGACATGACTTTCCTTGACCCTGTCTCTATATTTCTTCACTCCCAGATGACATACTTCAATTAGGTTCAAAACTAGTGAAAGGCAAGCCATGACCAGCATGAATATGATGAAAATGGTCTTTTCAGTTGGACGGGAGATATAGCAGTCAACGGGGTTAGTACAAGGTTGGTAGTTACACTTGTAGAGAGGTTTCAGCTCAAAGCCGTAGAGGTAATATTGGGCTAAAATAAAGCCAATTTCAAAAATGGTTTTGAAAATAATGTTGAACAAATATGTACGGAGAAGAGCTCCTTGCATTCTAATTTTGCCCTGTTCATCCAGCAAGGAGCATTTAACGTTCTCTGCATTCTGTGTCAATGCCTCCTTGTCTCCGTCCAGATATATGCTCAGCTTCTCTTTTTCTTTCTGCTTCCGTTTCTCCTCCATTCGCACCAGGTGGAAGATATGGCCCAGGTAGACCAGAGTCGGGGTGGACACAAAGATGATCTGCAGCACCCAGAAGCGGATGTGGGAGATGGGGAAGATCCTGTCATAGCAGACATTCTGACAGCCAGGCTGATTGGTGTCACAGGTGAAGAAGGACTGCTCATCTCCCCACACTTTATCGGTGGCTGTCCCCAGCACCAGAATGCGGAAGATGAAGAGACACGTTAACCACACCTTCCCTACCACAGTGGAGTGTTGCTGAGCACTTTCCAACAGGTTCTGCAAGATACTCCAGTCTCCCATTCTTTCCTGTGTTTAGCTTAACAGAGAAAATTGGGGGGTGGGAGGGTGGAGAGAGGGGAAGAAAAAAAACAGAAGTTAGTATGTTTGGCATACCATCTCAGTTTTCTTTGGATTACATTATTTCTCACAGCATTTATGCCTGAATTGGTAGGTCCTTTCTCAAAAGGGGAACATACTCTGCACACCAAACAAGAAACAAACTTACCAGTTATAATTGGTTTTGATGAAAGGTCATTGACCTTTAACATTGGACAGAATCTTCCCAGAAGGGCAAACGCTCTGAAACCCAGGGAATGTTTTGACTGGCCAGCAGGCTTCAGTTTGGATGTGAGGCTAACTCTGCAAAATTATAAGGGGGAAGCAATCACAAGGTGGCAGATTTGTGGAGAAGGTAGCCAGTTAAAAAACAGCTGGCAGCCCTCCCATGTTACTGGTCCAATTAGAGACTGGAAACTCTGTAGCCTCAGCAATGCCACTGAATGTCAGCAAGGAAGTCACCAGGGTGATTCCACTTTGAGCCACCCTCACAGGAGTGAGGGAAAGTCATTCTTTTTGTTGGGCCAAACAGTCAGGACTTTGGTCACTGATGGTCCCCTCCTTGAACAATGGAGCCCTAATCCTCTACCCCAGGAAGCTACTTGGAGGCAGCTGTTGGACAATCTTTGCAGTGAGGGCGTGGCTTTGCCATCAGCAGTTTGCCAATGGTGCAGGAAAATTACCTTTAATTATTTAAATTGCCCAATTACTGATTGGGGCTGGGCATTTTACAAGCCCACCTATCTCCCACGCAGAGGATTCAGGAATGGTGAAGTTGTCTCCAGTGAGATGCTGAATGTTTTCACTATTCTCGGCTTTTAATTCTACATGACTCCCTTCATTGCGTGGTTCCCAATACGTGATTGCAATGAGCAAAATACAATTTTGTCTCCAGTTTGCGGTTGCAGTCACTGCTGCCAAGAGGGGGAAATGGGGACAGAAAAGTTAATTCATGGTTGATGAGATGTATTTTTTTAAAAGCACTAGACAGATGCTACCAATGGAAGTGTTTAGAAAAGGAGTTCAAAAGGAAAATAGCATCATGGCTGAAATAACAATAACAACAGCATAAAGAAACAGAAGTACAGTATGCAGTGGAGTGATGTGTAGTTAGAAGAGAGCAATGAGGTGGTATGGAATGGACCTGATTAAATTCACAGCAGCTGCACAATTATTCTTATATTTGTTGTTTCTATGTTGCATATTATGGATATCCCTTCCGCTTTCCAATCATACTGGTATTACCATACTTCTGACATAAAACATTTACTGATGTCTTACGTGCCATTAGCGTTTAAAATCTAGCCATACTGGCTGTGTCAAAATCACTATGTTTAGATGACAAAATTTGTAAATTAGAGAAATTAAGTAACGATTACAATGTTCTGTCCATTTTTATAGTATCACAACAGAGTTTATACAGTCTATTGCTGTCCATTTATGTGCAAATTTATTGTGTTTTCTTATCAAATAATTTGGTTCAAATTCAAATGACTAACAGTAAGCTTTTGTGAATTTAATAATAATAAAGATTATTTATTGTCACACACGTGGCCATGTTTAAAACGTGATGACTTATGCACACACACATACACGAAAATGCACATGCAATCACACAAAGATAAACTTAAAGAAAAAAATACAGTTTGAAACCATTTTTGTTGCTTTCATAGCTGGCCTGTAGATCCTTAGATGAATTGATGCTTTAGCTGAAGTGAAGGTCTTGTAAAACAGATGATTCTCAGGAAGTTATGAGGCATCCTCCGGTTGAATTGCCAGGATATCAGCTCTTGAACTTGGAACAGGTTGAGGGAAAATCTTTTTCTTCCCCCACTTTCAAGGTACAGTTATTTATTAACTTAGCTGCATAATAAGCTTCCAACTGGTTCAATTACCCTAGGATGGGCTTTCTGTCTTAGCACAGATTCTGCTGTTATTTTTAAAATGAGGCTGAAAACATAGCAAGCTTATTTGTTTGCTTGACTTGTTACAAGTCCACAATCCTTTTCCAAATACAGTTGTGTGTTAGACTAGTAAACGACCTCAGAGATAGTAGGAACTGCCGATGCTGGAGTCTGAGATAACAAGAAGTCTAAGGGTCCAGACCCGAAACATCAGCTTTCCTGCTCCTCTGATGCTGCCTGGCCTGCTGTGTTCATCCAGCTCCACACCTTGTTATCTATAGTAAACAACCTGTTATGTGTTTCACACCCTATGTTTTTGAGACAGCTAAGGATCTTTGTGTTTGGGATGAGAAATGATAACAACACAATGAAAGGTCTATGTGAATCATTTGGTGTTGATAACATTCATTGAGTTTTTATATCCCTGTTGTCCATGGTGAAATAGAAAGATGAAACAACTGATATGTTAATTTTCTCGTTGATCCTTAAACAAAAGGATGTGTGAACTTCACGAGTGGCTGAGAGTGTCTATATTTAATTATGTACTTGCTTGAATTTTAGGATTGGAGCCACTGTTGCCAATGTCAAATGAATGCTGAGCCTGCCACTATCTTGAAAGTTTTCCTTCCCATTTGAACAAATAACTTTCAGTTTTGTAATATCTTCTTGCCTATACTAGGTATGACCAGAGGCTGCAGCCATTCAAGACATTGAGCTCACTCCTTCCATAAACTGCTTCAAAAAAAAATGAAAGGCCATTCAGGCCATCGAATTCAAGTCTCGGTTCCCAAGGATCATTTACACTTTAACTGATTTTAACCAATTGTATTTATTTTGTGAGAAAAGCTAAAACAAAAAACCTTCTTATTCTATGCTTTCTTATGCTATTATGTAGTGTGAAGCACTATTTGTTGCAACACATGACCATTAGTATTCTAATCTTAAATTTTACAACAAAGCCTTTATGAAAATGTTTGGAGATGTTATTTTATAAAGAAGCCACAAACCTTCACTTTCTGTAAATCTCAAGCTAAACATGAAGAAAAATAACAGTCCCCGGATGAAATCTTTGTCAATTTATTGCTGTCCATTAGTGATAAGTATTTGGCTTGTCGGGCTTATTAACGTCTGCAGCGTGGAGATTCACAGATTTCAGCATTATATATAGCCAATGTCTCTTTTATTTGCATGTAGCTCAAGCTGTTGGTGCTAATAAATCTTTGTCTGATTTAGTACCTCCATACTAATGAGGCAGCAGTGAGAGTAACAGATATTTTTTAACTGTCCAGATTCATGAAATTCAAATAGGTCAACCAGTAAGTAAAAGTTATAAGCAGAAATAAAATGGAGCCACTGGGTTTGTGGAGCAAAGTTTAACCATTGAAAGAGTCACAAATGATACCAAAGCTGTAATTTAAACAACCCTGTTAAAGGTTAAAGGGTAATGGTAAAGGGTAATGACTCTAAGGTAGGAAGGAATCCATGTCTGAAAAATAACACTAATTAGTTTTCCTCCTTTATGTAATTCCACTTAGAAATGAAATGGTTGGATTTATTAGTGTACAGAACATTTATAACAAATAAATAAGAAATTATTTTTAAAAGATGAAACCATAGTATCAGATGTAACTAAACAATATGCTAGCCTGTTTTGGACAGCATTTGTATCTAGGTATTCTCTACAATGGACGAACACATTCCATAAAGTGGGCATGAGGTGAATTGGTGACCTGTGTCCTATTTTACCTTGTGATTTACATAGTGTCGGGGTCAGTTAGCTTAGATGACTAGACTGTGGTACACAATGACCACAGCAACAGTAGCTCAGTCCCTGCACTTGCTTTGGTAGTTCATGGAGACCTGCCTCCTTGTCTCATACTCCTTGATGCAGAGTAGTGCCTGTCAAGTAAAATATCTGCTTGCCATTCTCGTATGGAGAGAGATGCCTATGGTCTTCATAGACGGTGGCTAATTACCTACACGTTAACCATGTATTACAGGGTAAAGAGCAAAGTTTCAACTGTGTGTATGTTTATAATTGCACATCTAAGTCCCCGTTACTGTGAATAAATGCGAAGGGTAGCACAGATTCCACCACATAATTGTTGTCGAAAGTACCCTGTTTAATCAAGTTTTAATGGGATGGCATGATGGTTCAGTGGTTAGCACTGCTGCCTCAGCACCAGGAACCCAGGTTTGATTCCAGCCTGAGGTGACCATCTGTGTCGAGTTTGAACGTTTTCCCTGTATCTGCGTGGGTTTCCTCTGGTACTCTGGCTTCCTCCCACAGTCTAAAGATGTGCAGGTTAGGTGGATTGGACATGCTAAATTGCCCATAGTGTCCAGGGATGTGCAGGCGAAGTGGATTAGATAGGGGAAATGCAGGGCTACAGGGATAGGGTTGAGGGTGGGGGTTGGGTCTGGGTGGGGTGTGTTCAGAGGGTCAGTGAGGACTCAATGGGCTGAATGGCCTGCTTTCACACTGTAGGGATTCTATGATTTAAAAGTAATTATGTAAACTGTACAATTTTTAAATATTAAAGTACAAAAGGTCATGCAATGGAGTTGCAGTCACAGAAATTGTTAGAAGTAAACATAGGACAGCAACACAATACAGCCTCCGGTGTAGAGAGATAGCAGACATTATCCAAACCAGATGACAACAAAATTAATTTCAGTGATAATCTGAGAAAGTCATCTTTAAAGATTAGGAGCAGAAACATGGTAATAAGGTAAAATAGGCTAAAAACATTCATTTATGACCTTTCGTGCCAATGTTTGGATATTTTCATATTTTTGGTTAGAATATTAAAGCTGACACAAAGTGGTACTTTGAATTATTATTCATAGATAGGAAGGATCGCTACACTGCTTTTATGCTGTGATTATAACTCATTGGTAATTACAGAAGAATGCTGTCCTATGAGAAACAGATGCACATGAAACCTGCCAACCCGCGACACAGTGGAAGAGCCCTCAGAAAGTTCAGTGCTAGGATCAGAAACATTTCGAGAGAAATGGTGAAATAACCTGTTAGAATCACATCTATGCTAATATCTTACCTCTGACACCAGGA